TAACGAGGATTCTTTCGAAGAACCGTTTTCTAAACTTATAAAGACTGATCACAGATAGTGTGCGATTATGCAACTCTTATCGTCGTACCATACCATTGCTGTACAATAAACGATACTATTGTTGTACAATAAACGATACTATTGTTGTACAATAAACGATTATTTTATTGACTCTTTGTGAGAAACACAACAGCCCATAAAGGGCACACCACTCCACAGTGAGCGCAAAATTTCGAAGGGCACTTTGAAATCTAGACCGTATTTCCTAGATACAATAATGTAACCCAAACACAAGAGGATAGGGTTACAAAGCCTTGTAACCCTAAGGATAGGGTTACAATTTACAAAGGCCCCCAAGGACAAAAGTTACAAAGGCCCCCCCTAAGGATAGGGTTACAAAGGCTTTGTAACCCTATCCTCTTGGGTTTGGGTTACATTATTGTATCTAGTACTAGGCCTAGTAGTAGTAGTAGTAATAGTATTTCCCGGCAAATACGGTCTGAATCCGCCCCTGTTGTTGGTACTGGTAGACAAATTGAGATGTTTTAAGCTGAATACGCAAAAATGTATCAAAGACAATGTTCGAGAATTAGGTATATTGACAAGCATCCGAAAAATTCATGATAAATATTAAATAAACACGTGAACTTCGCTGTTAGTTTAGTCCGTTAAATTAGTCCGTTAGTTTAGTAGTTTAATAGTTTAGTCCGTTAAAAGTCTGTGGTCTGTGGTTAGTAAACAGCGTAATGATTTGAAAGTAGTAAATGGACGCACAATTAATACGCGCACTATTTCGTATCACTATTTTATAAAATTTCTCATAAAATCATGATCGGATTTTTAATAGCTTTGCAACTTTTAAAAGTACAAATATTATTACATAGCCGGTTACCTGGCCGCTGTAAACCTTGTAGTAAAAAAGCGTAAGCCAGAGCGAGAGCGCCATCTGCCGTGAAGTTTGGTTTGGCCGTTGGCAATTTTGAGCACGTGCTAACATTGTTGACGCGTTGCTCAGTAACCGTTCATTGTAGAACGTATTCGAAACGGCATACGAGTCTCACTAGCCGCCGAATAAGGTCGTGTGAGCTGAAGCTTTGCGAGAAATCAACATCAAAATGGTGAGTTTAGTACCCTATAAGTTAAGAAATAAGTATTACTATCGTAATTATAATGTAATTAATATACTAGTAATAATAATTTGAGACTAGTAGGCCTACTAGTAGTAGTAGTAGTACTAGTAGATACAATAATGTAACCCAAACACAGGATAGGCGGGTGCGTGTACTGTGTAGGCCTACACAACAGCATTTGAAAACGAAACGCAAGTAGTGCTAGCACTTTGAGGAATAAGTGCTATAGAATACAGTGTGTAAAGTTGTGGAAGGTGTTCAAAAGGATAGGTGAGATGTCCATGGTAGATAAACTAGAGTGTTATAAAAGCCGATTATTTTGCGTTTTGTGAGGCCATCTTTTCCTGAGCATTGGCTGGGGACAGGTGGCAGTCTACGAAACCATCGGCATAGAAAGGAAGGTATTGATTTACTGCTATACGTGCCCCGGCGCGGCGTACTTATCTGACGGCTGCCCGTGCACCCGTTCTTTTGGGCGATTTCGTATGCCCCCGTGGCAGTTTTTAATTTTTTAGCGTTATCGTCAATAAAATCCAGAGGGTTGGGTATTAGCAGGTTAGGGATGAGGCGTTACCGGGTTAGGCGGTTAGAGTAGGTTAGGGTTAGGGTTAAGCACCCGCCGTGCCGGCATTAGAAAACGAAAGGACCGTGCCCGGCCTGCCGGGTATTAGCC